CCTTCTGCCTACCTGCATCCCTGGAGATCTCCTCTCCAATCCAACTGTTCTCCATCCTCACCATCCCTGGGGAGAACTTCAGGTGCTGTCTGGACCCACTACCACACTTTGCTTTGGGCTCAAACCCTTCCCACCTATGTCTTTCCAGCCACATCTCCCTTCTCTCCCCCCAAACCTCTTCCCAACATCCTTTTTCCACCCAAACCCCCAAAATGCTTCTTTCTACCTCCATCCCTGGAGAGCTCCTCTCCAATCCACCCGTTCTCCATCCTCACCATCCCTGGGGAGGACTTTAGGTGCTGCCTGGACTCAAACCCTTCCCACCCATGTCTTTCCAGCCACATCTCCCTTTTCTCCTCCCAAACCCCTTCCCAACATCCTTTTTCCACCCAACCCCCCCTCAAATACTCCTTTCTACCTCCATCCCTGGAGAGCTCCTCTCCAATCCACCCGTTCTCCATCCTCACCATCCCTGGGGAGGACTTTAGGTGCTGCCTGGACTCAAACCCTTCCCACCCATGTCTTTCCAGCCACATCTCCCTTTTCTCCCCCCAAACCCCTTCCCAACATCCTTTTTCCACCCAAACCCCCAAAATGCTTCTTTCTACCTCCATCCCTGGAGAGCTCCTCTCCAATCCACCCGTTCTCCATCCTCACCATCCCTGGGGAGGACTTTAGGTGCTGTCTGGACCCACTGCCACACTTTGCTCTGGGCTCAAACCCTTCCCACCCATGTCTTTCCAGCCACATCTCCCTTTTCTCCCCCCAAACCCCTTCCCAACATCCTTTTTCCACCCAAACCCCCAAAATGCTTCTTTCTACCTCCATCCCTGGAGAGCTCCTCTCCAATCCACCCGTTCTCCATCCTCACCATCCCTGGGGAGGACTTTAGGTGCTGCCTGGACTCAAACCCTTCCCACCCATGTCTTTCCAGCCACATCTCCCTTTTCTCCTCCCAAACCCCTTCCCAACATCCTTTTTCCACCCAACCCCCCCTCAAATACTCCTTTCTACCTCCATCCCTGGAGACCTCCTCTCCAATCCACCTGTTCTCCATCCTCACCATCCCTGGGGAGAACTTCAGGTGCTGTCTGGACCCACTACCACACTTTGCTTTGGGCTCAAACCCTTCCCACCTATGTCTTTCCAGCCACATCTCCCTTCTCTCCCCCCAACCCTTTCCCAAAATAATTTTTCCCCCCAAACTCTCCTTTCCCCCTCCCTCCCCGGAGTCCTCCCGGGCAGTAGGAGGCGCCATGTTCTCATCACCCTCACCCACCTCCTCCATGCCTGGGCGCCGCGGAGACGCTCTATCCCGCCCCTCTATGACCGCCGGGGGCGGGCG